GGAGAGGTGGAGCATTGCCTTGGAAATGACACAGTCTGGTGAGATGAGATGATTTATGTCACCTGAACAGCCAGAACAGTTAGTGGTAGTTAACTCATTTCTATATCTAAGATACAGGACTGATTTTTTTTTAAAGGGTTGTATCATGTCATGTCTGATGTCAGCATGGATTAAATTTTCCTAGGAATAGGGAATCTGCTTTTTTAAGGATGTTAGTCATCCATTGCGATTTGCTCATTATATGGATGAGGGAATTGAAGCCCTGTGTCATGTGGGAGCTTCTGTCACAATGGCTACCTGACCCAGCTTTTTTCATTTTCAGTGAAATTTCTTTCCTTTTAGTACTAGCCACTTTTTCAAACCGTGTCTTTATAGGTATGAGAGAGGGAAAGAAAAATATGGTCAAAGTTTAAGAAAGAAAAAAAAAGGTCAGGTAATCTTAGGCAAAGGTAATTTTTTTAAAACAAATTATGCGTGGAATTCCTTTTCCACCTGTCCTGATCCTGCGAGGGTTCACTTCACTGTGGAAGGTGGGTATCTTTAAAACTAAGGGGCGAGGGGTACCGCATGGGGGAGAATAGTGCATGTGCTTAGCATGCACCAGGCACGCATGCAGTCACCAGCACACCCCAGCTAAGGACCATGGCATGGATGTAGTCTCCTGCACACCTCGAATAAGGACCAAGAGAGTGTGGAACAGGGTCCACACAAACAAGAGCTCATATCTGCACCCCTAGGGTTACTATTGCTTGTACTTCTTATCCCTGTGACTCTCTTGTTAGAGAAGCAAAACAACTACTCCTGCATTTTTCTTTTAATAAAGAGCTTTTCCTTATAATTACCTTGCTGACAAAGGGTGGAAATTAAAAATGTGACATAGATTTATCAAAAGTTTTTTTTACAAGGTACATAGGTGTCTTTTTATGTCACATATAGGGACTCCTAAGAGTGAAAGAGGCCAGGACATACATGAATCTTCCATATTAATAAGGGTGAAACAGGAAAAGGTTAATGCTGACTTTTGAAAGAAAGGGAAAGGAAATTTCATCATTTATTGCTATAGCTCTTGAAACTTACTTCTTTGAAGCTGTTGGCTTAGAAATGAAAATTTTGGTATTTCAAACACAGTGTAACTTCTTAGCTAGCATGATATTTGAGGAGTTTTTGATGTCTATAGTTTACTGAATTTTGACCCTTTGCTGCACCCTGTCAGAAAAGTCACTTATTTTTCCTCAGCCTTCACACCGTAATAGTCAACACAGATAACCTCTGTGACAGCAGACGACTTTGGTGTCCCCAACAGCAAGCAAGCAGACACCCGCTGGGTGTCTTCTGATGCATTTCAGTCCGACACCATCTCCTTGGAGGTGGCGTACACCCCACAAGTTGAGAACTCAGTCTCCAGACCCAACTTGCCCTACCTCATCTCTGTAGATGTCAGCTGCAAGTCCCTGCTTGTTTTGACTGGACTTTTGGCCCACTGGCTGTCAAGTGGGGCTCCTACAACCTTCCAGGTTCCATGAAGTTGCTGGAGCACCTCACAGAACTCAGGGAAACAGTTATAGTTCACAGTTCATTATTAACTACGCCCAAATCTTACAACGGAGGACACAAACAAAAAGATGCATAAGGGCAGAGGTCTATAGGAAGAGGCACGGAGCCACCTCTGTACAGCCTCTGTATTTTCAGCTGTCTACAAGCTCCCTGATATTCTTTTGGGTTTGTTTGGAAGCTTCATTGCATAGCTGTGACTGCTAATAGCTCACAGCCTGTGTGGGGAAACTCAGTTGTCCTATCTGTTCAGTTTCTTGGGTCTCTGTATAGCACTCCTTCCAGGAGCAGCAACCTCTCTGGAGTAAGAAGAGTCTTATGACCTGCTGTAGGCAAGGGTAGGGTAGAGAAGTTCCTTATGGCCTGCTTTAAGACAAAAAGGCAGGGAAAGTTAGTTTCTGTTGCCCACCTTAGGGAATCTTGTCTCTGGGGCTTGCCTTGGGGAGGTTATTAGCCAGAAACTATGGATGAAAACCAACACTTCTTCCATCATTTTGGTCACTTTTGAAGCCATTCTAGAAGTACTCTTTTGTGAGTGCCTTTAGTTGCTGTCTTGTGGCTACCATATTGTCTTCAATAGACTGAAAACATTTACCTTTCGAGGTCATTTTGACTTTGGGGAGAGCCAGACATCGCATGATATCATATCCAGTGAGTAAAGTGGATGAGGACACACTGTAATGTTTTTAGTCTGGGATGGCACTCAGCAGCAGCATTCACATGTTTTTATCACACCTTAGAGACATGAAAGAAGACTGTGAGGACTGCCTCAGAAAGTGGCAAGCACGACAGGATGAGTATGTTCAAAGCAAGGGGAAGTGTTTGGGGAGATTAATGGCAGTGCGTCTTTAATAAATTTTAAAAATTTAAACACTGTATTTTGATCATCTCTTGTATCATAGTATTGCACAGCCCCCTCAGTCTTTGCAGCTAGTTGAGAGTGTGTAAGTGTCTGAGTACTTCCCAGGGAAGACCTCTATATCTAAAATGTCTACTGAAACTGTTCTTTTTTGTACCAGGAATTGAACTCAGTGAAACTACTTTTTAAAACTAATTTAGTGAGATTAAACCTTCTTGTAACTTGATATATTTTCCAAATTGTAAAGTCAGGTGAGCTGAAATCTTACCAGTGAGGAAAGACATCTATTTTATGATTAGGAAAAAAAATGCCATGATTTTGCCTTTTCTATTTGGAATCAAAATAGAGTTTTCTTTGAAGTTAGAAAGATTCAGGCTGTTTCTGTTGTATTGCTTTAGGTGGAGCCCCTTGTGCTGATTTTTGTTGGGTATAAAACTCGCTGATTGTGGGATTTAAAAATCTGTTATTTCCAATATGCAATGTATTAACCATTGTTACCCTCCTATTAACTTGTTTTGAAATTCTATTTTTTTTCTCTTTAAAATTAAAGAAAAATCTGTTAAGTCATGAGATGGATCAGCTGTGTTCCATTTCTTCTGCTCAGTGACAGTTACTACCACCCCACTTGCAGCTTCTAAATCTATTGATCAGCTTGGGCTCTAAGCTCAGTTGGCTTCTCCATCTGTCCTCATCACTTCTCTAACCAGATGAGTGTCGTCCTGTTTGTAATGTGACCTGATAGTTATTGCACATAACTATGCCAGTTATGATGCAAAAGTATTATTATCCACACCACATCTGTAAGGCAGATACTTTTGTCTTTTCAGTTTTATTAATCAAAAGGCTACTTTAAGAGAGGTAAATCTGTTGACCTACTCAGGATTGGAGAGCAGTAGCTGTGGGCCTGGAAGCCAGGTTTGTCCGGCCTCTGCCGCTCAAGCCGTCACCCAGCAAGCTGGGCTACATTGGTTCCTTGGGTAGGTCATACGATGCCTGAGCTTTGATACAGTGTTCATGTTTCCAAGCTGGACAGATCTGGGTTGGAACTTTGGCTGTGCTTCTTAGGGGCTCTGTGACCTTGGGTGAATGACTTAAATCCTTCTGACATCATCTGTCTACTGGGAAGTTGTGTGTAAAATCCAGTGGCAATTTCATTGTTCAGTGCACAGGACGGGAAAGAGCTGTCATTAATTACTTTGCTAACTATCTATAGAGTAGCCTGACTTCATAAAGATCATTGTTGGTATGTGCAGTGGCCTGTTTTTCTTTTTCACTGGAAACACTGAGCTCTGGCAAACTTGGTCTGACATTCGGTGCTTCTGGTAGACCTCTGTCACCTCCTGCAGGTCTTCACATCTTTCCTGGAGGCGGCACATCTTTCCTGGGTGTGTTAGTGGCTTCCTTTGCAAGCACATTGAGGTATTAGTGTAGAGTTTGGGGTTTGAAGAAGTCCAGTAAATAATATGGTCCAAATGTGTGGAGGGGTGGGCAGTAGTTACGCAGATAGAGACTGAGGTGTCCCCTTGTTATTAACACAGCTGCTGCTGCTGGAGATAGGATAAAGGAGACCCAGAGAGCCGACACCAAGAAAGGAAGGACTTTCAGAACAAAGATAGAGGAGCTTAGGTAGAAAAGAAGAAAGTGGAAGGGAGAAGCTAAAATTCTGAACCCATTCTTTGCTGTCTCTTGGGAGCTTGGACAGGGACTCACTGAAGGACACAGGCACGGAGTTCTTGCTGACCTGCAGGCTGAACTCGGTTTGCTACAGCTGGGTTGGCTTGGTTGAGGGCTGCTGGTGACAGCAGCAAATGGCAGGATTCTGTCTCAAAAGCTTGTTCAAATCTTTGAAAACGAAGGGTGGTACCTTTACGAGCCTCTCCAGTTAAACACTTCTGGATTATGTGACTATTGAAATACAGCTGGCAGCTGATAGTTCGTATCTTTATGTGTTTGTTTATGTATTTTTGTATCTTTATTATACTTTTACATGTCTTTATTTTTTGGTATTTTTTTGATGTAATGATTTGTGTTCATTCTGAAGAAAAATCATAATGATTGACAACTGCTGATTGTGTCACTTGTCATGTGAGAGTTTATGTAATTGTTATTTTAAAAAATACAAACTGGTAGAGGTTTCATCCTTCAGGAGCTTTCTGTCCACACCATATGGGTCTTTCCTTGTTCTAAGGAGTGTTACACAATTTAGAGGTTGATGTTTCTTTTCAAACCTACTTCATATGTATACTTTTTTCTTGGTTTGGGGTTTATAAAAATAGCCATATTATCTGAATTCATTTAGAAATAAAGACCATAAAGCTTAAATTCATTGCTATTTCTGCTGAATGTGGACAAAATCTTTGATACGAAGTTATATTATCTGCAATCTAAGAATATCTTAAATTTTTGCAACTCTTGAATTATACTAGACTTCTAATAATTCAGTGTTACTTAAAATCTAGTTTAAATTCATCTGTAGGGGAATAAAATTACATCTCATATATTGATAGCCACTGACCTAAGTATATTGCCTTAGCTCAGTACCTGGTTATTAAAACTGCAGCAAAAATTAATCTGTCTTCTTTTTTTTTAGCTTCTCAGACAAACATTTTAGTGGAAAAGGCTTACATTTTCAGCCATCAGTTCTAGATTTTGGAATACAGTAAGTATCTTTCCTTTATAATTAAAAAAACCTCATTTTATTTATGTTGTATACTTTCAGCATATCTTTTTCCCTCCTTGGATTTTTTTGAGATGAGATCTCCCTGTGTAGCCCAAGCTGGCCTTGAACCTGCAGAGAACCTCCTGCTTCGGGCTCCTGAGTGCTGAGATCATAGGCACATGCTGTCATACCCAGCTCAGCATATCTTCTGTATGACATATATAGTGTATATTACACATATAGACACGTTGTTAAATTTTATTAATATTAAACCCGTGACTTATTAAAAGAAGTATTTGCATGGAAGAGGAGTGTATAAAAGTTGTTTCACCTCTTTAATTTTTTTTAAGTGGGGAGCAGTGTCAAGGATTGAACCAGGGTCCTGTGCTTGCTAGGCAAGCACTCTACCACTGAGCTGTCTCTCCAGTTTCCCTTTTTTAGTTCTTAATAATTATACCCGTAGTATTTTATAGTGATTGTAATTTAATTAGAAGATGATGTTAAGGCTTCATTTTTCTGAAACAGAAACAACTCAAGTCATTTCATAATGAAAAACTCTAAATGCTGATGGTTTCTGAATTCCCAAAGCTGGACTCAAGTGCTGGTTTGCTTTTCTTTTTTGGGATTTCTTCAGGACTCAGGGTTGCACAGTACTGTAGGTACCAGGATTAAGACTGGGAACTGAAATGAAGTAGGGGAGGACACAGCTTTAATCCTGACAGTACTGAACACTAGGAACCAGAAGTGAAGGACACGGGGTCTGAGGCCCAGGTGTGGAGAAATGAAGGAAGGAGGGTGAGGAGCTGTGGAGTGGAAGCAGTTTAAGGACTCCTGTGTATGGCACAGTGTGAAATGTGCAAGTGTTAAGCTCCCTCGATGCAGAATGCAGCAGCATTGAGCACAGTCCAAATTGGCACTTTGAGAGGCAGGAACAACAGTGTTTGAGGAGTCAGAGCTCTGCTTGTGCCAGGAGCATTGGCCCATTTGTCCATCTCTGCAAGGTCAGGATGAGCTTTTTAAAGAATTATTTTATTACTACATGTATTTATATTCCATGTGGGGAGTTGGTACATTCTGAGTTAAAAACAGTTATGTGGGTGAAATAACTTGATGCCGAGGGCACTGGAGTAGTGGTTCTTGTGTCTCCATTATGCTGCTTTTTATCCATCTTGGCTCCTGGTCCTCCAGAGGTTTGAGCTGCAGTGGAGGGAAATGGATGTGCAACTTGAAATGCCTTGTTGTGCTTTCAAGGAGATTTTGCAAGAATTTGAGGAGGTAAAGTGGTGAAAGGATTTTGCTGACTATATGACATTTGGGATGCCTTTGAAAAAGGTAACTATAAGCAGAATTTAACCTTACTGATTTCAAATTCCAAGAGAGTACTTTGCTTTTATGCAAAGTCTTACAGAAAAAGGAGGGCTACTTTAAAAAGCATATATGAATATTAGAGATCAGTAGATGTAATTAAAGAGGTGGTGGTAAGTATAGCTAGATTAGAACAATTCCATTTCGTAGGGTTCTGGATATGTAATATATTTGAGTGTTCAGTAGCATAAGAATTCTATAAACAGTTTGCATGAGTATATGTATATATTAGCAACATGTACTTTGGCCATATGCATTTTTTGCAGGTCTGGATAGCTAGAATGTTGTTGAGAAAATGTTTAGTCTTTGATTTGAATTTCCTTTAGTTTTGTTTATATAGTGCAAAGTATAATTGTCTTTTGTCATTTGAGTCTTACGTTAATCCTGGATGACATTATTTCTGAGAGAGAGAGAGGGAGTGTGTGTGTGTGTGTGTGTGTATTACTTTCACATACTTCCATTTGAACATGTGCCACAAATGTGTCTGTAATTTTGTTACTGAGAAGTGATATAATTTGCCCAAGGTCATTTCATTAGAGGTGGAGGAATAAATCTGATTTCTAAGCCAGTACTGTGCTGTTTTTCATATTAGTGATATGTAGGCTGTGATTGTGGGACAGCCTCAGTAAGAACAAACTTTAGTCTAAATCCAAACACATTTAGAATTAGCCAGGTTTTACTTTATATCATATATCAGATGGCATAATTTATGGTCATCAGAATAAAATTTTAGCCTGAAGGTTCTCTTGATTTCTTTGCTGCACTGGCTCAGCTTTTGTTTACTTCAGTGTTGACCTTGGGCAAACCCCATCCCGGTTGAGAGATTTAGTTTCCCTCTAGGACACAGAATCAAGGTCATGCTACTCATTTTCCTTCTGCCTGCTTCGTGAGACTCATTTTAAGGGTTAATATTTCTGCTGGTCCAAGATTAAAAGTGCTAATCGTTCATAAGAGATTTTAGTCATTCTTTTGTAGTATTAAGTTAATAGCATATCTTCCAGTTGTCACTAGTGAAGGAAATTCATATCCTCATAACACTTTTAAAAATAGAACTTAAAAAAATAGGATTAAAAATAGCACAGTGGTAGCTAGGCTTCAGCCAGTGTTCTCTGTTGAGGCGCTAGTGGATATATTCACTGAGCTCTAGCATTGCTGCTGTGCAGCCTTATTTTCTGTTTCTCTGGTAGACATCTGTGTTCTTTGAAGCTAGAAGTCTTGTATTTTAGTTATGTGAATTACATCCAAAGCTTTGAGGATAAGTACTAATAACTTCGCTGATTGATTCATATTAGCTGCCTAAAACCTAAAAGAAGGTCTTATTTAATTGCAGGAAGAAAGGCAGATCTGAGCCCAATAATGAGATAGGACTTTTTGAGGTGACTATGTTTATGGTAGTATAAAATTTTAGAAGAAAAAATACTGAAGAACTATAAAGAGAATCAAGGTTTTTATCCTACCAAGGTGTTTTTGTTTATAACTGGAATTAAATATTTATGTTTTACAGTGGCAATTTGGATATTTAAAAGTTTACATTAATACTAGTACTTAAAAATAAGTGAAAGCTAGAAGAAAAATTCCAAGGATTTGATGGTAGTAATACACTATTTTGGAAATCCCATTGCATATAAGAGAAACAACATGATTAAATTTTTCCTTCAGCATACATTTTTGATATTGGAGAAACTGAAATCAAACCAGAGAAACATAAGCCTAATGAACATGAATTTTTACTTAAATTGGGGTATTTCTGGTCCCTGCTAATAAGAGGCATAGATCTGAGTCTTTGCCTTTGAGGGTATTAAAACTAGAGGAGTGACTGCAGTGAGATTTTGACTGGGTCTGTGTTATAACATGAGCCAGAGTGAATTTGGTGTTGGCCAGTAGAATTAAATGACTAGAGTGAATTTTGTAATAAGGTCCAGGTAGGCAGATGGGAGCCCAGTTCCTAGTCTCTTGCAGCCCCTCTGACAGCGCATCCTTCTGACAGCTGATTGTGGGACGAGGTAGAGTATGCTGCTATAAAACAATGGTCTCAAGGCCTTGTTCGATGAGTGTGTTTGCTCTGCAGTGGATGCTACTGGGAGGTCATGGAAAGTTTTGAAGTTATGTAAAATCCTTTCATGCATGCATGTTTGTGGAGGGACAAGCTGCCTTCCTTCTAGTGGGTTTTCTGAAAGGCTCCTGATTTTGGTGGATAAGAACTGCTGCTACACAGTGCTGCCCGGCTTCCGTTTTTCTCAAGAATGGCTGAAAGCAACAATGAATTTTCCTTTTGTAAAACCTAGTCAAGTCTCTTTGTAAGTTGAAAATGCAACCCTTACAAACGTCTCTTTAAAATTTATTGCTTAGAAAACAAACTCTAGGAAAATAAGAGTTTTTCTATGAATACAGTTTCTTATCTAAACATATTTTCATTTGAATGAGAGACCCTAGACAGAGAATGCCAGTACGTGCCAAAATGTGCTTTTTAAAACAACCATTTAATGGCTTACATGGCTTGAATTCTTCCAGCATAGAAACCAGTGGAGTATTACTGTGGGTTGGCGGCATAAATCATAAAAAAAAAGTTTTGTTTTTGTGTTTTTTTACTATTGTAGATTAAATATTTTACCAGTAGGACTTGGTAAGTTTTTGTTTTTTTTAATTTTTTAATGGATATCAATAGATTTCTGGATTTAAAATGTGTGGTTTGGGGATTTAGCTCAGTGTAGAACTTATGTGAGGCTCTGGGTTCAATCCCCAGTGCCAAAAATCTAAAAATAAAAGCACGTGCATGTGTGTGCATGTGTGTGCACACGTGCACATGCCTGTAGTGATACTGATAACCACAGTGTGTTACTTTTTCTCTTTTCCCTTCTAGGCTCCTGGGACATCCCGCAGCAGAGATTCTTTATGCTCACAACCCTAGTAGGGATAGTGAAGTTGTGGTGAACTCAGTGTTTACAGCTGCTAGACATTTTCATGTGCCTCCTGTTCACTGCAGGGTGAGTGCTGATGGACTCCTGGAAACGGTGCTGTGGCAGGCTGCCAGCTTCTCATGCTTCCTTTGGCCTCAAGTTTGAACTTTGTGCTGTCTTCCCTTTTTCTCCTACCCAGACTTCTCCTCCTATGTGTTTGCTTTAGCATGTATTTTTTCAGTTGTTCCTTTTTAGAAGTTTGGTGTCTCTGGATATCCACCTGGGGAAAAAAACTTTAAAGACTTTAGGTAGCAATGTCTGTATATTCAGTATGTCTTTTATTGTAAAGTGTTTTTTTTTTTTGGTACAGGGAATCGAACTCAGGACCTTGTGCTTGCTAGGCAGTCGCTTGTGCCACTGAGCTATATCCCCAGCCCTATGATAAAGTTTATGTTTGTCTTACTACAGATGCTGAGACATTTAGTAACTAACCCAACTTTACAGTGAGAACTCTCTCACCTCTCTGGTCTACTAAGAAAGTTAGGACTTCTTTCTAAACACAAGACTAAACAGTGGTAAATGGTTCCTTCCAAAGCCAGCTTGCTCCCTAATGGAGACCAAAACCTTAGCCTGCTTTTTCAGTAGTCTTTGGCTGTAAACAAGTTCATGATGGGGCCATACTTCATATGTCTTGCTGCTGGACGGCTTGAACCACTATGGTACATGCACAACTGTCTTATTAGGCAGCTTTTTATTGATTTTATTAGTAAAAAGAATGATAAAAGTGATTAGATTAGATTGTACTACTAGTGGTACAATCCATATGATGGGATGGCCATGTATGCACTGCTGGTAGTTCAAGCCAGTGGGCGCGTGTTAATGAAAGTCTTAATTGCTGGTAAGCTTTACTGTACTTACCTTGCTTACTGTGCCTGAAATTACGAATTTTTACAAAACACTAGGACAAAGGAAATGTTGAAGGGGGAAGCCCAGTATTTGGCTTATGATGGTCTGAACAGGTAAACATGATCTCTGATTTTCCTCACACTTCAGTATTTAAGTAGAGAGACAACTGTGTTAGATAAAGACATGGAACATGTGGATGTGGAAGAAGAGGGAAAGGAAGGAGATGAGACTCTTGATTCCACACTGAAGTGAGATGACTTGGCAACTGCTCTGCTCTAAGTCATTGCTATGCCCTTAGATTGGTGGGTGTTGGTCATTTGGCCGATGCTGAGGGATTTGTGATACTTACACATTAGGCTGAAGATTACGCAGCTATCTGATAACAGAAATTGTCAGAAAGAAAGTCTGAAGCAGACAGTTTCTCGAAGGAGGCCATTCCAAATAGCTAATTAGGTACCTTTCTTTCAGGTAATTCCAGCAATGGGGAAAACTTCCTTTAGAATTATTTTCTTACCTACTGAAGAAGGAAGCATTGAAAGTTCTTTATTTATTAATACTTCTTCATATGGAATCCTTTCCTATCATGTAAGTAACTTTCCTTTTGCCACACAATTTGGTTGTGCTCAAGAGTCCATTCCCAGAGGCTCACTGTTCTTGCCATTGTTCGCCAGGAAGGGAGTGTGAAGAATCTTGTTGGTGTTCACAAACTAGTTGGGTCTCTCCCTTAAATGTGGTACTGTGACATCTTTAAAAGCATGTGTCATCGGGTAATTTCAGAGCCAAGATCAGTTGCCTTTGTGGTTAATTCTTACCAGGTTCCATAAAACATGAGGTCCCACATCAGAAGAGTTGTCCATTTGTAAAGAAGGTTTGGTAATAGAGAAGATGACTCAGCTGAAATACAGCATTCATCCTGCTCTTTTGTCGAGAGAGATGAATGCCAGCTGGGCTGACACTGTTGTAGTGACCATGCCGATTTCCCTTGGAGAGGTAGTCGAGCAGCTTGGTGGGTGTGCTGTAGCATTCTGACGGAGGGGCACTCCTTCTCTCTTCCTGCAGGTGTCTGGAGTTGGCACTCGCAGGATCTCTACAGAAGGCTCTGCAGAGCAGCTGCCAGATGCTTATTTTCTGCTTCCGCAAGTCCAGAGCATTCAGCTTTCACAAACACAGGTCATTTTCATAGATTTGCTTTGATCAAACTTTGTCACCCTCTCCATTTATAGATCTTTGGCAGGGTATGTACAGCTCTTTTTTATATAGTCAGAACGGAGGCTTTACTATTTTCTGATTTTTGAAAAATCCTAAAATCTAGAAATATGTTTGTAAAGTATCAGTGGAATCCACATACTTTTTTTGTTTTTGGAGTTCTGGGGATCAAACCCAGGCCTTGCTCACAGTGGGCAAGTGTTCTACCACTGAGCTACACTGCAGGCCTACAAAATTCTTCTGAAGGGCTGTGTACACCCAGTGCTGCTGTTCTATAGTTCACTTAGGCCTATTGTTGATCGTTTGGATGTTTGTAGTTTTTCATTTTTATTACCGTTAAGCCATGTGCCTGTTTTATAAGTTTCTTTAGAGAGGAGCAATTCTGTAGTTGCAGACTATGAACCGTTTTATAGCACTTGTTAAATCTGGCTGGTTTGCTTTTCAGGAAGAGAGAATCACTGAGGGCACTGGGAATGTGCGCCTCTAAGGGTGTTGCACTGTCTTTTCCCTTTCTTGTTTCCCTAGTTATGCCTGGGTGTAGCTTAGTGGGAAGAAACATTTTGATGCACTGGAAGTATAATGATAAGTTAAAATTCTTTTAAAACACATTTCATTAATAGCTTCTCAGGGGGGCCACTTTTCCCTTTGTTTATATTTCCTTGTAAGTGGATAACTTCTTAGGAACGAAGAAAAACCTTTTGAATCAATATATTACAAACTTCACCTGTTTCTTTTTGAATATTGCTTAGAATCTGTGGTCAGTAATACCAGGGCTCTTGTTCATTTGCAATTTTATTGAGCATCTGCTATGTGCCAGGTTTTAGTAGCTTATGTTCCAGTGCAAGAGACAGACAAAATTAGTGACCTGTAACATAGTGTCTGGGAGCTTTGTTAACAACAGATACATGATTCTTAAGGATTTTTAATGATACATGAATTTTAATAAGATTGAATAGTACCTTCTCCTAGGAGTTTTGTTTTTTTGGTTTTCTGAGACAGGGTTTCAATATGTAGTTCAGGCTGGCCTTGAGCTCACTTTGTAGCCCAGGCTGGCCTTGGACTTGTAGCAGTCATCCTGCCTCAGCTTCCTGAGTGCTGGGATTACAGGTGTGCGCCACCATGCCCGACTTGTTTTGAGACAGAATCTCACATCAGTAGACTCAGGTTGGAGCTGAACTCACCATGGTCATCCTTCTGTTTGAACCTTCCAAGTGCTGGGGTTATAGGTGTACACCACCATGCTTGATTCTTCCCAGAATTTTAAGGATGATTTCTTCATTTCTTTTTTTTTTATTTTTATTTTTATTTCTTTGAGATGGGCTCTCATTATTTGTCAAAGCAGGCCTTTAACTCCTGGGCTCAAGCAGACCTGCTGCCTTACCCTCCAAGTAAGAGGGGTAGCAGGTGCACAAGGAAAATTCCTTTTAAGTACATATGGGGGTTTGGTTTAAGTACTAAAGCAGTGAGAATGTATTAAGAGGTCTTAAGCAGGCGACTGATGTGCTCTCATTTGTGTTTCTGGAAAAGGATTGGAGAGGACTAGAGGAGTAAGTTTAATTAATGTTGCAAGGGTTTCAGCAAATAAACATTTTTAGCCCCAGTTTAGTGCTGTTCTTCAGCAGATAAGGACGGTTGAAAATGGAGAAGTTTCTCTGGTGATGGAAATAGGGTCTCTGACTGCACTGTGGCCTCCTAGCGGTGATCTGAGCACTGAAGTAGAAGTGGGTCCCTCATTCAAGCGTTTGTGGAAGGAAGGGGGAGAGGAAGCTGACCCTGCAGTTCCCAGTGCTGAAGCAGCTTTCTCCCAGCCACTCTGCCTGGCAGAGCCTGTCTGTGCCCTGCGATGCCCACTGTTGTTCCCCAGTGCGCTACTCAAATGTTCTTGTCCCTCTCCAAAAACAAGACATAGGACCATAGGATCTCTGCTTGAAACCTCTCCAGGCCGGCCACCCACTCTGGAGGAGCTACTCTTCCGATTCCTTGTAAAACTCTCCCAACCTCAAACAGACAACCCCTCAAGGCATTTTCAGAAGTCTTGGAATTTAAAACCAGTCCTTGTCGTGGCTGTGAGGCCTTTTGTGGCCTGCTTGCATATACACACCTGCGCTTAATGCCGGCCTGCCCCGCCCCAGGGCTTGAACTCAGGACCTGTGCTGCTGGGCAGGAGCACACACGGTACCACTGAGCCCCTGGCTGCGCTCTCCAGTTGTGTTGTGCCCCATGGTCTCTTGCCTCAGTCTTACGTCACACTAGCCTTCTTACGTGTGATTTTTTTCCCCCTACCTTGGATGCTTTGCATCTTCAGTTGGCTTAGTGTCACCTCCCCTTTGCTCTAATTCGCCCCACTTCATCTTTCCTTGTTGTTCATCTGGTACTTGAATTCCTCAAGGACTCCCATCCCCTTCCATTGTGGTTGAGGGCCTTTGTTGGACGGTGGTTAGAACTACACTCCTTCCCCTTGGAACACTGCCCTTCAGTGGACATCATGGGCTCACACTTGATTGTTACTGGGGGGTGTCACTCCATGGAACTGATGCTCCATGAAGGCAGGGGCCACCTGGCGGATGTGCTTCCTGCGGTGCTCCTGCCTTGCTCAACATGAGGCGGCAGCAGCCCTGCGGCTCTCCTCGCAGACGCAGGTTTCTGCTGCTCTCTCCCTTCAGCTTGCCTTGCTGGTGACTTTGCTTTGCTTGATCTTCATTTCTGCATTAGAGGTTGAATATACCTATTCCCAAAATCTGCAATCCAAAATGTTTCCAAATCTGAAAATTTTTGTGGCTGACACGATGCCACAGAGTGGAGTATTCTGTACCAGACCTCATGCAGTGAGTCACAGTCAGAACACAAGCACATTAATAATACTCTGAAATCACTTTCAGGCTGTGTCAGTAAGAAGCGTAGAAAGCATAAGTGAATTCCATATTTATTTTTGGGTCCAAATTCCGAGTTATCTCAATATGTTTATGTTGATACTCCAAAATCTGAGAAAAGGCCAGGTCCAGAATATTTCTGGTCCTAAGCATTTAGGGTAAAGGAAATTCAACCTGTATCAAGCTCAGTTCATATTGAGGTATGATCTACATACCATAAAATCCACTCATTTGAAAAGCTATAGTTCAAGCTGTGCTAATTCTGTAGTTCCAGAGCTCTGGGAGGCTGAGGCAGAAAGATCACAAATTCAAACCCAGCCTAGGCAACTTTGCAATTAGGGAGACCATGACTCAAAATTTTAAAAAAAGGGGGGCTGGGGCTGTAGCTCACGGTAAAGGCCCCTGGGCTCAACCTCCAGTCCCAAAACAAAATCCCAGACAAACAAACTGCAATCCAGTGGTTTTTAGTGTATCCATGGAGTTGTGCAACTCTCACTGTGGTCTAATTTTAGAACATTCTCATTGCATCAGTCCAGTCCCTAGCGACCACTAATTTATTTTCTGTCTTTGTGGATTTGTCTATTTTGGGCATTTCATATAAAGAATATGTGTGGTCTTTTGTGATTGGCATCTTTCCTTTAACATATTTTCAAATTTTACCCGTGTTTTTCGTTCTTTTTTATTGCCAAGCAATTTGCCGTTGTGTGGACCTGCCTGGTTTTGTTTAAACCGACATTTGAGTGTCTGTTTTTTGGCTGTAATGAATAATGTAAGTTTGTGTAGGTGTATTTTTTCTGTTAGTGTGTACCTAGGAGTCAGGGCTGTTCATTTTTAGGACCTGTCAAACTGTTTTTAAAGTGCTTACATCTGTTTATAGTCCCACAGCTTTGCCAACACTTGTAGTCTTCTGGGACGTGGAACATTTGGAACCTTCAGGTTCAGCTGCATGGACAGGAACTTACATTCATGCAGAGGAGTGAGCACTGATGGAGGGTCAGGGGATGTATTCGGCTTCTCAGATGTGGAGATGTCATTGACCCGCCTCACACTTCCTGAAGATTGTTTCTGGAGGCCACAATGAGAAATATGTAATCATGTAATCAGAACATGTTGGCTCTCTTAAGCTTGCAGCTTGCTATAAATTACCTCCTGTGGATATTCTGTTGTAGCAGTTGGTTTTTCCTTAAGCTGTTAAAAGATACAGAAAGCTGTGACAAAAATCAGATTTAAATATGCTTTAAGAACATCACAGGTGTTTTTTCCAAGAGTTGCAAACTGCAGAAAAACTAATTTGCAAACTGCTTGCCTGAGGTCAGAAAACCAGTTTCTTACCTAAGTGGCTCTGATTCAAGCATGGCTTCTTGTTGGAGGTGTAAAACAGGCCTCTGCAAAGCTCCCCTTGTAGAACTTAAACAGACTCAGTGCAGCTTTAGGAGCTGGACGGGGCGGCACACACCAGTAATCCTAGTACTGGGGGCGAGGGGCAGGAGCATCGTTGCTAGCTCGAGACTAGCCTGGGCTATAAAGAGAGCTCAAGACCAGCCTGAACTGCATAGCAAGACCCTATTGCAGAAAGACCAAAAAAATCCCAGGAAACAAGTAGTGCTACTTTATCACTGCATCCCAAAGTGGGCATTGTCCCATTTTGTCCTCCTTTTCTCAAAGAGCGTGAGTGTAGGGAAATGGGCAAACACAGCAAATCCATTTTATTTGATATTTTTATAGGGGGAAACCTGTTGATATTTGACATATCATATAGATTGTGACTAGTTCTCCATTTAATGTTAAAGTCTGTTTTTTGGAATAACAACAAAAAAAAATAGTTCATCTTAGAAAAGCCAGCAAATAAGGCTTTTCTTTTCTGTATTATGGGCTCATTTTGGTCCTTTTTATTTGTATATATTACCCTTTCATATCTGATCTTTGCATTTATTTTCCTGCTCAGTTTAATTTGATTAGATGGCTTAGTTAACTTCTCCTGCTGAAAAGAATATATGTATATATCAATGGTCTTTGGTCTAATTTCTTTCTGGCCCCATTTTAAAAACTAGGCATCACTGAGTTCAGTGGAGAGGAGGGTACACATTTGCATTC